TTTTGGAATAGTTTTTGGTAGGGTTTTACTAGATAAATTTTGTCGATTTTTTGGCGGGCAACTTGTTATTTTATTCTGGGCGCATGGTATTTTTGTGAAATTGGGGTTCTCAGTAACAGATATTTGAGACGGATTTTTTGGAGATGATTTTTTCAGCGAAATTTAGGAAAAATCGAAAGTTATATAGGAACATGAACATGATAGGAACATGGGTGCACAATTTACATAAAATCGGAAGAAAATATATATGGGAGCTATATTTAAATCTGAACCGATTTTCACGAAACTTAGCACACATTATTCTAGATTTAATTAAGTACTCCTTGCCGAATTTCGTGCAAATCGAAAGTTATATAGGGACTTTGGTGCACCATTTACATAAAATCGGACGAAAATATATATGGAGTTATATCTAAATCTGAACCGATTTTCACAAAACTTAACACACATAATTTCAGACTCAATTCAACACGCTGTGCCACATTTCGTGTAAATAGATAGTTATATAGGGACTTTGGTGGACCACTTACATAAAATCGGACGAAAATATAAATGGGAGGTATATTTAAATCCGAACCGATTTTCACGAAAATTAGCAAACATCATTCTAGACATAATTCAGTACGCTATGCCAAATTTTGGGCAAATCGAAAGATATATAGGGACTTTGCTGTACCATTTACATAAAATCGGACGAAAATATATATGGGAGGTATATCTAAATCTGAACCGATTTTCACGAAATTTAACACCCATATATTAAAAGCTATCTCGTATTTGTTGCCTGTTACAAACATATGCATAAAGACATAATATTTTATCAAAATCCACGCCGATGTGTGGATTGTTGTTTATAAATCCCATTGTTTTAAATATTTTATTTAAAAAATTTTGAATTTTTTAATTTTTATATATTTTTGTTTCCTTAGGTAAAATTTCCAAGGAATATGGGAACAGGCACCACTTTTTAAGAACATTTCAATAATGATTACTAGTGAAGTCATAGTGGATTTTTATAAAGATTCCTATTCCTCATGGTCTACCAAAGAAGTTATGTTGGATTTTTTTCCGATTTCCCTGATATGAAGACCAACATTTTGCTTCGAATTACAATCCTGGTACATCTAACGGAGCTCTAAACCAGCACGCAGTTTGCCAATTACTTTATTTGTCTAAATACCTGTTCTGAATGCCTGGTATGATTGAGAAAGTCTCGCAAGAAAATACCTAACCCCAAACCAGAAGCCTGCCTATCCGCATTCATCATTCGTTCAAATACTATTTTATGTAAGCAGTAGTGTATGTAATGAATTTGTTTTTAATTTTTTTCACATTCTTAATTTAATTGATTATTGATTTAAAAATAAATAAACAGTTTAACAAATCAAAAACTAAAAATGTTTTTCCATTTATTTGTGGACGTCTGTTAGTGGGGGTTCTCAATAATTTATTCCTATTTTGGCTCCCAATAAATTTTCAAAATAGATTTACAAAAATACCAGGCGCCCAGAATAAAATAGAAAGTAGCCCGCCAAAAAAATAAAACACCAAAAATGTTGGTCAGACAACCCCCTACCCACGAAAAAAAGTATGCTAAACATTTTGGTGATTTTTTTTTTTTGGCGGGCTACTTTCTATTTTGTTCTGGGCGCCTGGTATTTTTGTGAATTTTGCTCAAAAAACGCAAAACCAGGCGAAACAAAAATATTGGGACGTCATCACATAAAGATATGTTGCACGCTTGGGGGCAAATTTTACAAAAATACCAGGCGCCCAGAATAAAATAGCAAGTTTCCCGCCAAAAAAATAAACACAAAAAATGCAACCAGCAGCTACCCGCCAAAAAAATTCGAGCGCCTAAAAGTATGCTAAAAATTTTGGTGATTTTTTTAGTTTTTTTTTTTTGCTGGCTACTTTCTATTTTATTCTGGGCGCCTGGTATTTTTGTGAAATTTACCCAAAAAAACGGAAAATTAGGTGAAACAAATGTTGTGACGTCATCACATAAAAATATGTTGCACGCTTGGGGGGGCATGCATGTATACTTACTGTATGTGTTGTATCCGTAAATAAAAACAAACAATGTTTTTTTGTTTTTAATAAATTCGTTTTATTTTTAATTATTCCTTGTCAAAAAAATGAGTGGTACATACATATAAATATAAAAATATATACAATATTAATTTTAATAAATAAAAATTGTCTTAAGAATTTAAACGGCATCAAGAATTGGCCTCTATGGTATTGCTGCAATCCTTCATTGTATAATTTTATGATTGCGTGAACTGGATAGTTCCAAAAGATTTAATTGTCGGGCCTTTCATATTTTCAAACATACTTGTAGATCGTTTTTGATTGTCAACCTGGAATAGAAAATAAAAGATTAAATTAAAGAGCAATTTTTTATTTATGTATTTGGATTTATTTAAAAAAATTAAAGGATCCCACAAGGCGTGAATTTATTAACGAAAAAATTTTTTCAAAAGACTCACAAGGCGTGAATTTATTAAAGAATATTTTTGAAGGGGTCCCACAAGGCGTGAATTTATTAACGAAGAATTTTTTTCTCACAAGGCGTGAATTTATTAAAGAGTATTTTTGAAGGGTTCCCATAAGGCGTAGATTTATTACTCACTCACTTAGCTGGCTTGTGAAAGAACTTTCTTTCCATAAGCCGAGTTTAAAAAACATTTTCAGGCGCGTCGGTCTTTTGCGCAGTTTTTCCACTTTTAAAGATCATATTCGGCAATGTTGTCCCCCACTTGATCTTTCCATCTTATTCGTGGCCTTCCCCTTCTGCGTGAACCATCAGCTGGTTCGCTTTTATATGCCTTTTGGGCTGGGGCATCTTCATCCATTCTCACAACATGACCTAGCCAATGTAGTCGCTGCAGCTCAATACGTCTAATAATGCCGATGTCCGAGAATAGCTAGCACAGCTCATGGTGCATTCGACGGCAATATTCACCGTCAACGCAGATCGGCCCATAGATCGTTCGGAGAATTTTTCTCTCAAACACTCCAAGAGCAGCCTCATCTGCTTGCGCAAATACCCATGCTTCAGATCCATATAACAGCACAGGTAGTATCAGCGTCTTGTAGAGTGTGAGTTTGGTCTGGCGGGAGGTGGGCTTGTTTCTAAACCACTTACTTAGACCATAGTAGTATTGGTTGGCCATCACAATCCTTCTCCGAATTTAGAAACTGATGTCATTAGTTATATTTATTGCGGTACCAAGGTATATAAAATATTTGTCTTCCTCGAAGCTGTAGTTCTCAAGTTCCGAGTCTACTGAACGTCTTGCGCGTTGATACTATCTGCTTGGTCTTCTCGCCGTTTACTGTTCAAAGGTGGCTGTTACCGCTCTCAATGTTCGACCCATTATGTTGATGTCATCGGCGTAGGCGAGTAACTGGTGTTGCTTGGTGTAAAGTATGCCATTTCTGTTCACCTTTGCGTCTCGTATGACCTTTTCCAGCCGGATGTTAAAATGATCACACGACAATCTGTCAGCTTGTCTGAATCCTTGTTCGTTATAAAAGGGCTCCGAGAAGTCCTTTCCAACTTTAACTGCTGACATTGTGCCACATAAAGTTATCCTGCATAGCCGTATTAATTATGCAGGAATGCCGAACGTAGACATGGCATCGTGGGTCTTTTCCAGGATTTGGCGCAGAGTGAAAATCTGGTCAATAGTGGACTTACCAGGTCTGAAGCCGCATTGGTATGGTCCAATAATGTCGTTGACCATTGTCGTTCACACAGCACCCTGGATAGCACTTTATATTCGATGGGAAGGATACTTATTCCTCTATTGTTGGCACATATCGTCTTGTCTCCTTTTTTGTGCACGGGACACAGGATGATGAGGTTCCAATCATTGGGCATGAATTCCTCTAGCTAAATTGTACTAATCATCTGGTGCATGCCCCTTACCAGCGTCTGGCCATCAGTTTCGAATAGTTCGGCTGGTTATCCATCGGCTCCTGCTGCTTTATTGTTCTTGAGCCGATTAATTGCTTTTATGACCTCATCTTGGCTAGGTGGTATACACTCTATACCATCATCTATTATTGGTTCTGGGATATCCTCTTCACCGCTACTATTTGATACCAGAAGTTTTACAAAATGCTCCTTCCAGATCCTCAGCACGTTGTCTGTATCTGTCACCAGGTTACCTTCTTCATCTCTACAGGAGGATGTGCTAGCACCAACGCCTTCGGTTTAGTGTTTTACTCGTTGGTAAAATTTTCGGACTTCATTCTGACTCCTGTGCATATCGATTTGCTCACACTTTTCTTGTTCTTTCTTCGTTTTTCTGAAAATACGTTTCTCCCGATAATTCTCCATCACATTACGTGTTGCTACGCTGCGTTTTTTACATCAGTACATTACGACACTCCTGATCGTACCATGGTCCATGGATTTCTTCTACATTAAGACGGGTGCGAAGTTTGGCTGCCACAAGGTAATGGTCCGAATCGATATTCGCTCCTCGTCTATCACAACATGGTCTTCCGTCTATCACAACATGCTCTATTTGATTAAAGAATAATTTTTTCAAGGGTCCCACAGGGCGTGGATTTATTAAAGAATATTTTTCAAGGGTCCCACAAGGCGTTGAATTATTAAAGAATATTTTTTCAAGGGTCCCACAAGGCGTGGAATTATTAAAGGATAATTTTTTTCAAGGTCCCACATAATGACATATTCCTATTTCAAACCCGAAAAATTTAGACTCAATACCTCTTTACTCACCGTTATATCCGATCATAAATTTTATTTACCCTAGAATAGCTTAGCAATAAAAAAATAAACAAAACTTGAATTCGAAGTATATTTATGTATATATGTATGTAAGTATGTATGTACTGTAGAATGTAGTAACATCGATCTATGAACGTGTAAGTATGCAGGTATGTATATAAAAATCATATATATATGAAAAATACAAAAAAAGTGTAACCTAAGTCATGAAAAATAGAACTTAAAAATCGTACTAAAAATCAGTTTCAGGACTCTGGGGTCGTATAGCATCTAAATCGGTTTCGATTGGCTTCTGTTTTTTGGGTATGGCACCTGTGGAGCTCTTCACAGTTGCCACCGGACTATTATTTGAAATTTGTTCATTTGTCGTGGTAGTAGTTGTGGTATCGGAAGTTGTTGTTGCGGTGGCTTTCTGAGGACTAAACGACTTCAAATTACTCAATTGTGTGCGAACATCATCTGTCGATAGGTGATGCAGCGGAACATCTGCCCTCACAGCCATACGTTTAGGACTGGCACTACCATCATTCGGCTTACGTTTATCTGGCGGGAATACCACCTGAGCATAGGTTACACCATTAGTTGATGGTTCGACAACACTGCTGCCACCTCCCGATGAATTTGTCAGTGTGCTGGGTTGTCGGAATACCGTAATTTCCGGATTTGGTGCTGGTCTAGTGGGTTGTGGTGGTGGTGCTTGCCGAGATACAGTTGTCATTGTCGTCACCGGGCTGCCACCTGCTGCCGTATGCGTGGGATCACCTTGTGGTACCGCTGAATATAGCGAAGGGGTGTAATTGTGATCGGTCACCTTACAATTGTAAATGTTCAGACCCTTTATGTAAACAAACACGAGGATGTCGAATACCAAACCAATAAATATTAAACTGGCCGTTAATATATTCAAAATGTTGCCATGCTTGGGTGTTTCACGCAGCAGACATTGGGCATAATTCGGCGCCCAATAGATACAGGTGACACCTGCGGAAAGAGATTTTTGTTAACATTGAATATTTTAGATTTTGAAAGAATGGAAATCTTACGTGACACAACATCATAGGCCAGATGGACCGGAATATAGGCGAATAAGCCCACACACATCACCTCCATTGCCAGGGCCAGGCCTTTATCTTGGGGCAGAACACTTCGTAAACTGATAATAATTTTTCCAATGGTTGTCATGCCATAAACCACAGCCGTTGACAGGCTTAGCATTTGGAAAATCCACAACATTTCATTACATTTATCCCTGCTGCAGGCTCCCAGGGTGGCCCGCTTACTATTGGTCAAATCCATTTCATAATTATCGGTGCCACCACAGCTGCAGCCTTCGAATAACTGGAAACAACAAAAATAGAAAAAAATTAAATTCCGAATAATTTTTTTCAAGGGTCCCACAAGGCGTGCATTTATTGAAATATTTTTTTCAGGGATCCCACAAGGCGTGGATTTATTTAAATATTTCTTTAAGAGTCCCACAAGGTGGGGATCTATCAAAGAAAAAATTTTCAAGGGTCCCACAAGGTGGGGATCTATTAAAGAATAATTTTTTCAAGGGTCCCTCAAGGTGGGAATCTATTTAAGAATAATTATTTCAAGGGTCCCACAAAGTGGGGATATATTTAAGAATAATTTTTTTCAAGGGCTCCACAAGGTGCGGATCTATTAAAGAATAATTTTTTTCAAGGACTCCACAAGGTGCGGATCTATTAAAGAATAATTTTTTTCAAGGTCGAAGTTTTGAAATTATCTGAAGTACTTACCTCCACATTATTAATAATCGATTTCCTGGAGCATCCCGCATAGCATGGTGCAAAATACGTGACAGTGGAATTTTCCGGACACACAGGCATAAATGAGGTTGGTGTACAAATACAATTACGGGAACAGGCTGGCTGTTCAATTTTACCATTTGTCACCCCGGCAATGGGTCCCACATCACATTTGATGAAGATAAAGGCGATATAAATGGCCAAGAGCTTCACGCACAGGCCCATGTTGATGGCAGCAATTTTCCTGGACAAAAAATTACATTTTCATTATTTTAAAAATTCCAACCAAAAATTAAAATCCCTACCTTCCACTAAATTTCCATTTCGATATCACCAGACCACCAATAAACATCGATAAAGCTGCCACAGCGGGTTTCATGAAGAACGACACAAATCTCGACCTCCATTCCTGCTCCAAACCATCCTCCTCGCTAAAGGGTAAATAAAACCTCGATTGTAAATAATTCTCCTCCTGCAGGGAGTAGTTAATCGAACCCGATTGTATAAACATAATACTGAGAATATTGAACATTAGCAACTTATTGCCAAAGACACGTTTCACCGAAGGTCCGAAGGCCGTGTCATCGATGTAGGTTGAGAATTGGCTGCCGAATTGACGGCTACGTGATTCTTCAATAATTCTTTGGGCCGCTTGATGTATTACCGTTTTCGGCAGCTGCTTTGGGAACAGACCCAATAGAATACCACTGACAATAACCACGGGGGCCAATATGGCCCATCCCAACCACCAACCCAAACCGATGGCTCCAACACCCATCACCAACATGGAACCGGTTTGCATGCCAACCAACTTGGCACCAAATGCTGTGGCAATAACAGCCGGACTATCTATGGAATCGGAATTATCATCAATATAAGTTATCCCAATGGTGTAGAAGGCCAATGACCCCAGTCCCAGGGCGAACTGTAAAACGAACAACATTGCCAGAATTAAATATTTGCTATTCGCCTGGGATATTAGTTTGCCCGTCTGCCAGGTTGTGGCACAAATACTATCCTCGGCAGCTGTGTCCGTATACCGCAAGCCATCGGCACTGAAACATAGAGAGGATTAAAATTATTCGAGGAATTCGAAATTCTCAAATGGCAACACTTACAAATTCATAATGGATGGCAACATTGATATAATGCAGGTCACACCTTGCAATATTATAACACCACCCAACCAACTGATCGGATGGATTCGATGAGCCCAATAGGCAAATGCCAAGGCGAATATGGCCTGGAATATGCCACTGCTTACCAGGAGCCATTCTGGAAATAAGGGAAATAGAAAAAAAATAATTTTGGAATTTTTATATAATACTTTTTCAAGGATCCATCAGGATGTGGATTTATTAAAAAATATTTTTCAAGGGGACTCATAAAGCGTGAATTTATAAAAGAATATTTTTTTCAAGGGGTCCCATAAGGCGTGGATTTATAAAAGAATATTTTTCAAGGGGTCCCATAAGGCGTAGATTTATAAAAGAATATTTGTCAATGGGTCCCACAAGTCGTGGATTTATTAAAGAAGGGTTCCTATTAGGCGTGGATTTATTAAAGAAGGTGTCCCTTTAGGCGTGGATTTATTAAAGACGGAGTCCCATAAGGTGTGAATTTATTAAAAATGGGTCTCATTAGGCGAGAATTTATTAAAGACTATTTTTCAAGGGCCAACTGAGGCGTGGATTTATTTTAAAGACTATTTTTCAAGGGCCAACTGAGGCGTGGATTTATTAAAGACTATTTTTCAAGGGCCAACTGAGGCGTGGATTTATTAAAGACTATTTTTCAAGGGCCAACTGAGGCGTGGATTTATTAAAGACTATTTTTCAAGGGCCAACTGAGGCGTGGATTTATTAAAGACTATTTTTCAAGGGCCAACTGAGGCGTGGATTTATTAAAGACTATTTTTCAAGAGGTCCCATAAGGCGTGGATTTATTAAAGAATATTTTTCAAGGAGTCCCATAAGGCGTGGATTTATTAAAGAATATTTTTCAAGGAGTCCCATAAGGCGTGGATTTATTAAAGAATATTTTTCAAGGGGTCCCATAAGGCGTGGATTTATAAAAGACTATTTTTCAAGGGGTCCCATAAGGCGTGGATTTATAAAAGACTATTTTTCAAGGGGTCCCATAAGGCGTGGATTTATAAAAGACTATTTTTCAAGGGGTCCCATAAGGCGTGGATTTTTTGAAGACTATTTTTCAAGGGATCCCATAAGGCGTGGATTTTTTGAAGACTATTTTTCAAGGGGTCCCATAAGGCGTGGATTTATAAAAGACTATTTTTCAAGGGGTCCCATAAGGCGTGGGTTTATTAAAGAATATTTTTCAAGGGGTCCCATAAGGCGTGGGTTTATTAAAGAATATTTTTCAAGGGGTCCCATAAGGCGTGGGTTTATTAAAGAATATTTTTCAAGGGGTCCCATAAGGCGTGGGTTTATTAAAGAATATTTTTCAAGGGGTCCCATAAGGCGTGGGTTTATTAAAGAATATTTTTCACCAAACCAAATAAAAAATATTATTCATACATTTGTTTTAGATTGATCGAAGATTTGCTAGATGTGTGACATATTGATAAGTCCGGAAACGTTGGCATTTAATAATGTTTTTTTTGTGCTACGATATCTATGAATGTACACAACCTTTATTTTGATAACACATTTTGATATTAGAAATTATAACAACAACAAATAAAGGAAAAAATTTTTCGCCATAACTTAGATTAACAACAACAAAATCGATGTGGAAAATAATCGGAATTTTTTAACTTACCCACAGCCAGGGGATTCCAGCCATTCTCCAAGGCCGCCTGTTTTGCTGAGATGCGAAAATATGTTTCACACATGCCCTGGATAAGGCCAGCAATGGCCAAAATCAGGACAAAAGTTCGCAGGCGAGCATATTTTTGACACCAAGGGCCACGGCACCAGCCCAAAACGCGTATTCCACAATCGACACTATCTGGAAATTTTGCAAAAACACTTTTAAAATTACTTTCTCTTTTTTTAAAATATTTTTTTAGTTCACACAAACCATCTGGAATATTTGTATTAACCGCAATGGCGGATAAATCTGAGCTACGATTTGGTATGGGCATATTTTTTTAGATTCCGATCTTTTCTTATCTTAATTCACTTAACAAATATTTAAAATTTAATTTTTAAAACATCGTTTCGATTTTTCTTTGTAAATAATTTTCACATTCAACTTTCCCCACGGCCGATATTTTATTTTTTTTCTTTTATATTTTTGGAGAAAGCTTTGAAAACTAAAAAGAAAAGAATTCGCAATTTTTCGTTCGATTTGTTCACTTATCGTTGTCGGTGGTGGGTATTAAAGCCACAATATGACTAATTTTTTACTTTAAAGTTCTATGCTGGCTCACCCACCTGTACCTGTGCGTTTCGCTATGATGGGACCCCTTGAAAAAGTCTTTTATAAATCCACCCCTTTTATGGGATAAATACACCCCTTGAAAAACTAGTCTTTTATAAATCCACGCCTTATGGGACCCCTTGAAAACTAGTCTTTTATAAATCCACGCCTTATGGGACCCCTTGAAAAATAGTCTTTTATAAATCCACGCCTTATGGGACCCCTTGAAAACTAGTCTTTTATAAATCCACGCCTTATGGGACCCCTTGAAAAATAGTCTTTTATAAATCCACGCCTTATGGGACCCCTTGAAAACTAGTCTTTTATAAATCCACGCCTTATGGGACCCCTTGAAAACTAGTCTTTTATAAATCCACGCCTTATGGGACCCCTTGAAAACTAGTCTTTTATAAATCCACGCCTTATGGGACCCATTGAAAAAATATTCTTTTATAAATCCACGCCTTATGGGACCCATTGAAAACTAGTCTTTTATAAATCCACGCCTTATGGGACCCATTGAAAACTAGTCTTTTATAAATCCACGCCTTATGGGACCCCTTGAAAACTAGTCTTTTATAAATCCACGCCTTATGGGACCCCTTGAAAACTAGTCTTTTATAAATCCACGCCTTATGGGACCCATTGAAAACTAGTCTTTTATAAATCCACGCCTTATGGGACCCATTGAAAACTAGTCTTTTATAAATCCACGCCTTATGGGACCCAAAACTTCTTTTATAAACCATTGAAAACTAGTCTTTTATAAATCCACGCCTTATGGGACCCATTGAAAACTAGTCTTTTATAAATCCACGCCTTATGGGACCCATTGAAAACTAGTCTTTTATAAATCCACGCCTTATGGGACCCATTGAAAACTAGTCTTTTATAAATCCACGCCTTATGGGACCCCTTGAAAACTAGTCTTTTATAAATCCACGCCTTATGGGACCCCTTGAAAAGTAGTCTTTTATAAATCCACGCCTTATGGGACCCCTTGAAAAGTAGTCTTTTATAAATCCACGCCTTATGGGACCCCTTGAAAAGTAGTCTTTTATAAATCCACGCCTTATGGGACCCCTTGAAAAGTAGTCTTTTATAAATCCACGCCTTATGGGACCCCTTGAAAAGTAGTCTTTTATAAATCCACGCCTTATGGGACCCCTTGAAAAGTAGTCTTTTATAAATCCACGCCTTATGGGACCCCTTGAAAAGTAGTCTTTTATAAATCCACGCCTTATGGGACCCCTTGAAAACTAGTCTTTTATAAATCCACGCCTTATGGGACCCCTTGAAAAGTAGTCTTTTATAAATCCACGCCTTATGGGACCGTTTGAAAAATATTCTTAAATAAATCCGCGCCTTGTTGGACTCCTCAAAAATATTATTAAATAAATCCACGCTTTGTTGAACCCCTCAAAAATATTCTTTTATAAATCCACGCCTTATCGGACCCCTTGAAAACTAGTCTTTTATAAATCCACGCCTTGTAGGAATTCCGAATTTTCCACTCTGTGTTCTCTCTGTCCAGTAATCACGGCATACAATGAACTCTATGTATGTCTGTGTCACTAACAGCAACAACAACAACAATTATTATTTAAGTAATTGTTTGACAAATACAAGTTAAACATTATGAGCTTTGGTTGTAGTAGTAGTCACTACTACAAACAAATTCAATCATCGTAGGAAAAAATACACACAAATCATTTGTTGCTCTAAAAACAACAACAATAGCGCCGAATAATGTTTGACAATAACATTACAACAATTCAAGTACAACAATGATTGATGGGATGTTCTAAAATTAACCGAATGGTACCCTACAGTCGGCATGGGTACATAAATGCTCACTTAGATGGATCCTTTGAAAAATAGTCTTTAATAAATCCACGCCTTATGGGACCTCTTCAAAAATATTCTTTAATAAATCCACACCTTGTGGGACCCTTAAAAAATGTTTTTTAATAAATCCACGCGGTATTGGAACCCCTGAAAAAATATTCCCTAATAAATCCACCGCTTGCTGTGCCCCTGAAATATTCTTACAATTCCAAAATTAATTTTTTATTTCCCCTTTTCCCAGAATGGCTTTTGATAAGCAGTGTCTTATTCCCGGCCATATTCGCCCTGGCATTTGCCTTTGGGCCCATCGCATCGTGTTATAATATTGCATCAATGTTGCCATCCATTATGAATTTGTAAGTGTTGCCATTTGAGAATTTCGAATTCTCATAATAATTCTGATCCCCTCCAGTGCCGATGGCTTGCGTTAAAAGGATACAGCTGCGGAGGATAGTATTTGTGCCACAACCTGGCAGACGGACAGACTGATATCCCAGAAGAATAGCAAATATTTAATTTTTGCGATGCTGTTCATTTTACAATTCACCTTGGGCTTGGGGTCATTGGCCTTCTATACCATTGGGATTACATATATTGTTGATAATTCCGATTCCATTGATAGTCCGGCTGTTATTTCCACGACATTTGGTGCCAAGTTGATTGGCATGCAAACCGGTTCCATGTTGGTGATGGATGTTGGAGCCATCGGTTTCGGTTGGTGGTTGGGATGGGTCATATTGGCCCCACTTGGTTGTTGTCAGTGGTATTCTATTGGATCTGTTCCAAAAGCAGCTACCCAAAACGGTAATACATCAGGCGGCCCAAAGAATTAATGAAGAATCACGAAGCCGCCAATTCGGCAGCCAATTTTCCACCTACATAGATGACGCGACCTTCGGTGAAACGTGTCTTTGGCAATAAGTTGCTAATGTTCAATATTCTCAGTATTATGTTTTTACAATCGGGTTCGATTAACTACTCCCCGCAGGAGGAGAATTATTATTTGGAACAGGAATGGAGGTCGAGATTTGTGTCGTTCTTTATGAAACCCGCTGTGGCAGCTATATCGAAGTTTATTGGTAGTTTTTTGTTTTGAATTTTTTGTTGGAATTTTTAAATATTATATATATATATATATATATATATATTTTTGCCTTGTGGGAACCAGAAAAATTGCATTCATTAATATGGGCATGTGCGTGAAACTCTTGGCCATTGCCGGTTGACAAATGGTAAAATTGAACAAACAGCCTGTTCCCGGAATTGTATTTGTGCACCAACCTCATTTATGCCTGTGAGTACGAAAAATTCCACTGTCACAGGATGTTTGCCGGAATTCCATTATAAATAATGTGAAGTTAAGTATTTCAGATACTTTTGAAATTTCGACCTTGTAAAAAATTCTAAGCCTTGTAAGACCCTTGAAAAAATTCTTCTTTAATAAATCCACGCCTTGTGGGACCCTTGAAAAAATTCTTCTTTAATAAATCCACGCCTTGTGGGACCCTTGAAAAAATTCTTCTTTAATAAATCCACGCCTTGTGGGACCCTTGAAAAAATTCTTCTTTAATAAATCTACGCCTTGTGGGACCCCTGAAAAAAAATATTTAAATAAATCCACGCCTTGTGGAACTTATTTGAAAATTATATGTAGGGATCTCCTTAAACGACCGAACATTAGCGGCATAAACCACAAATCAAAACATAGAACTTTTAATGATTCCAGACAGACACCGAGCGAACGAACAACTGACCCACCGCCATTGGCATAGTGGTCTTCAAAATCCAAAAAATTGAGATAATATTTGTGTGTATTTGAAAATCGCATCGTTTTAGTACCGATTCTAGTTTAGTGCAAAAAAAGAACTGAGCGGATAAAAATTCGCCACTAAATCGGTGGCGGTAATAAAGTCAAGTTCGCGCTGTGTTCAAGCAAACAAAGAAGAAAAAAAAGTTGCCGACAATTAAACTCAAGTTCTAATTATTTATTAAGGAAGAAATTCGAAAAAATTTGAAAACATAAAATATTGAAAAAAACATGCACTTCCTGATAATCAATGTTTAAAAAAAATCAATAGAAAATTTTTCTTTAATCGAATCAAATCAAATTGAAAGCTGATAAGATTATTTTTTCGAAGCGCAAGATAATTTTTTTTTATAAATAATTGATAAAAATTACGGATCAGTCTGTCAGCCAGGTCTGTTGGGTGAGTGGTGGTTTGCTTCGATTGTGCAAGGTTTTTTTTTTGGTTTGTTGTCTCAGCCATTAATAGGAGGATGATAGCCAACCTGGCCCACCTGCCTTTTTGATTGATATATAAGAGTGTGTATGTGCGTCGATGTGTGTGTGTGCAAAATTTATATTATTATTAAACTTTAAAAACAATCCTCGTTAGTCGATCGCAGTTAGTCGTCGTTGGTGAACGTCGTTTTTTTTCTAATATCAGCGAGGAAAAATTTTATTTGATTATTAAATAATTTAATTATTATTTCAAAAGAAAAGTGATCGGAAATTTGCGGGTTTCTAGTGGAATAAAAAGGTGATTAAGAAGTGAAAAAATAAAAACGGAAATAAGAAAAATTAATTGAATATCATAAAAAATCCACAAAAATGTGTAAAAGTGATATATGGTGAAATAATAAAAATTAAAAAAAAAAATGAAAACTCAAAAATCCACACGTTGTGGGACCCTTGTAAAAATTTTTTTTAATAAATCCACGCCTTGTGGGATCCTTGAAAAAATATTCTTTAATAAATCCACACTTTGTGGGACCCTCGAAAAAATATAAAAAGCAAATGTTCAATTGGTTCCTGAAAAAAATAATAAAAAAATATTTTTTCAGAGAATCCTGAGCTAGCCTATGGCTCAAGAC